AATATGTACAGTAAAAATACATACAAAACAATACAAAATATAAGGTTTTGCACTTTTACATATTTGCATTTGTACTTCTTCCAAACTGAGCCTAATTGTTATTCATTTTTTTTAACATTTGAATGCAAATGTTAGGGGCCTCATCTAACAATTTAAGCTTTTAGGTTGCACGGTTCCTCCAAATGATATTAGTCTATTTAGACAACTGATCTAGTATTCAGTCCTTATTACCCTCATTGTAATTAATTAAATTTTAATATAAGGTGCGGAAGCTTATAGGATATTTCACTGAGAAAGAGTATAGTCAGCAATTATAATCAAGTCTCATCAGATCAGATCTGATGGTCCCTATTACAAACCCTAAGATGTGGATTAGGAGTCTACCTTGACCCGACCAGGCCCTTATTCATTGGGAAGAACTTTAGCTGTTGCAAGCCAACAGCATATGCTGTTGAAAGAATTTTTGGGAATGCCACATTACCATGAGAATGGGTAAATTAGTAATTATATATATATATATATATATATTAAAATTGGTCCTACCATGTCAGCAGTCCTCTCCTTGCTTCAAACCCCTTCCTAATTTTTTATATTTTTTAAATTTTTTTATTTTTTTAGTTCCACATATTTACCCATTAAACCAATAACGAAATCACATATGCTTAACTATTTCTTACAACTATAAAGAAAGAGGGATTTGTTTTTCTAATGTTTAGCAAAGTGGCACCACTTTCCCCCACTTCCTCCTAAATTGTCTCTAATTCCTATTTATCTCCTAAATGATCTCTAACTCCTATTTATCTCTTAAATGATCTCTAATTTAGTAGAGAGATTCTCTCCTAAACTATCTCTAATTCCTATTTATCTTCTATTCCGCTTTTTATCTATCTATCTAAAGAAAGTTTCAATTTAAAAAAATTCAGAACTATTTAAATGTTATAAAGAAATTATATACTAAATTTAAAATATTTATTCAAAACATAAAAAAATAATAGATTTAATAATATTCATATTATTAATAATTCAATATTTTTACAAAATTCATCATGAAAGTATGTAGTAACAATATAAATTATAATTTTACGAATTATTCAATTTAAATGTTATTCAAATAAAAAAAAGTAACATTAAAAAATAAAACATTATTTAAATATTTCAATAACTAAAAATCTTAAATAAAAAACATTAAAAATAGCTAAATAATATAACAAAATATTTAATATTATGTAATAACATTAAAATAAATAAAATTCAAATAATGAAAACTTTTAAATATTTAAATAACAAAATATTTAACATGACAAAATTTTAAATAGTTAAAATAAAAAAATTATGTAATAAATTAAAAAAATCTTAAAAGTAGAAAAATAATTATAATAGAATTCATAATATTCATATTAATAATAATTTAATATTTTACAAAATTCATAAAATGACGATGATGATGAGTCAACTTTTCGAAAGAGGGGTACTAATAATAATAATGAATTCTAGTTAATTAATTTCAGTTATTAATTATTAATTATAATAACTCACTAGTAATAACTAATTACTGATAATAATTTCTTATAAAAATTACTGCTAATACTTAACTACTGATATTAACTAATTACTGATAATATTTCTCATTATTAATTCGGAATGATAATTAATAACGATTTTCATAATTGTAGTTAATAATTCAGAAATAATAATTATATATATATATATATATATATATATATATATTAACTCGTATTAGTTATTTTGAAAATAAATATTGAATGTTAATTATTTGTATTTATATAAAATAATTAATTATATTATTATTATCAGTAATTATAATTAACTTATATTAATTAGTATAATTATATTATTATTATCATCAATAATTATAATTAATTATTACTAATAATAATGATTTCTGATAAAAATTAATTACTGATTATAATTACTTACTTATAATTAATTCCTTAATTATAATAATGATAATTATTGGGATATAATCATTTTATATTTATATTAATTCATATTAATTTTTTTATAAATATATAATTAGTGTTAATCATTTACATTATTATTATTATAAGTAATTATAATCAATACTATTACTATTCTCCAATAAATATTTCATTTAGTGAAAGTAAAATTATAAACTTTCAATTATTCATTATTGTTAAACTAAAAGAATTATAAAAGCAATTATTATTTCAGGAATTAATTAAAAATCGTAATTATAACAAATTAATTACTTCATAATAATAATAATAGTAATAATAATAATAATAATAATAATTTAATATTACTGATTTCAAAATCAATACACACATAATAAGAATATATTATTAGTAAATAATAGTAATAGTAATATACTTATATTGATTTCATAATTATTAATATATTATTAATCTATGAGTATTCTAATTTACTTGAATTTGACACATCAACATGCCCAAAATTATAATTTCAACCTACATTTTCTATTTCTATCTCTCAATTCCCATGATTCAAACATACGATTAGGTTATGTACAGTCTTATCTTTTTCTAAAGATAAATTCTAACCAGTCTACGTGCATTGTGGGGAGCTTAGACTTAAAATCCATAACCATGATTGACCAAAAGAAGCGTTGCCACCTAACTAGGAGGTGACTTCCATACTTAGGATGGTCCCATTATTCTCCTTTCTTTCATGTTTCCTCTGTTGGATGGGCTTCAAAGTTCTAATTATATTATCAGTTGATTATAGCCATACATGATGATGATTTGATTGTAGTATATTTTTCATCTCTTACTTTAGAGGATGGATGCATCTGGAAATGTTGTTTGGCATGGATTGTTTTTCTTAACAGCTCTTTGAATGATTTTTTTTCCTTTTTTACCTCTTTGAATGGATATCATATATGCTTTTTATGCATTCATATGTCCCTAAATATTAAGCACTATTGGTGATATTGTTGTAAACATCTATCTAAGTTTACTATTTTATAAATAGATTAGTGATTTCAAAATTATTGATACTTTTTTTGGGATGGGTTGCTCAACAGGACATTGATTTTTTATTATTAAATAGTAAATTTCAAATTAAATGATACTGTAGTTGCCCCTTACTATGGGGTCATTGTCTAGATAAAAAACATGGTAAGTCTCTTAAATCAAATAAAGAGCCTACCCTAAATGTCTATTATAAATAATTAAAAAAATAAAATAATTCATATTAAATCAAATAATTACTTACTCAAAATTACTAAATCATCAAGTACTTATTTAAGTAAATAATAAAAAAAATAACAATCATCACTTGTCATTAATGTTTATTCAAAGCATGCCCCATAATAATTACCAAATACATAATTAAACCTTAAATAAGAATCAATATTTATTAATAGTCATTAAAATTGTTAAGCCAAATCATTAATGTTTATTCTAAAATGGAAAATGTGAATTAACAAATCTATTATATAATAATTATACTCGGTTGAAAAAAAATTTAAGTAAATATTTAAATAATTACAAATTTAGTTAATATTATTACTAAATAACAAAAAAGTTAAATTAAATACTAAAATAAATTAATAATAATAATGGTTAAATTAAAGTAATAAATGTTTCAAGTTGAATTTAATGACCCGTATAATTTTGCAGGTTTGTCATATAAGGGTCAATTTATGTAGACCCGTACATATATATAGATTAACTACCCCGTACTTAGTACGGAGTCATTCACTAGTTGGGTGACAATTTTAAGCTATTTTGGCGGATAATTAAGCAGAAGCTTTTTATTAGCTTGTGATTTCTATTTTTTTTTTGGGTTTAAGGTGTGGGCCACATTTTAAAACTTCTAAATTCCCTTTTAAATGCCATTAATTAATGACCTCAAAGTTATGCTTTAAATTTATCCATAAGCCTGGATAATTTTTAAGCTATTGGATTGAGCCTTCCCAAACACAGCCTAAGAATTATATAAGGCTTGGTTTAGAAAGATTATAAATACAAATATATACAATGCAAATATCTATACTACTTGTAAAAGGGCGAATGCCCATTCTTTCTGGAATTTTTATTGGACATTTTCTACTCCTTTATCTAAAGATACAATGGGCATAAAGAGGATATATATGTCATTTACTCCTTCAAAAACTATCCTATAACCGCTTAGAAACTATCCACTCAAAAAAATTTAGAAACTGATCATGAATTATAAATAATTTTATCTTAAAGATACTGAGAAATGCAAATGTACATACACGTTTACTAATAAATTTAAAAATACAAAATACAAGTAAGAAACACTGTGGTTTAGGACAAATTCACACTGGTGTAGTTATGAATTGATACAAATTATAACAAATTAGTACTTGGAATTAATTAATGCTTCACATTCTTTTGTCTTAGAAGCTGGAAGGTGTCCTCTTGACCAGGCCACTTGCCTTACTTGATAAGGAAGTGGGACCCCCTTGCAGAATGGGGGTGGGACCCATATACAACATATCAGAATTTGATTCAACCAAGGTAGGCCCCTATCATGTATTAGGTGCATTTTCGTCATCAGAATTTGATTCAACCAGGCTGGGCCTCTTATCTGTAATCCAACGATAGAAAATGGAAGATGGAAGAACAAGACCTGAAGATGTTAGATGACCCCACATTATGATAAATTGATAATGGTGATGATGATGATGATACCGAGTCACCGAGTTGACTCGCTTGTACCAAGTCAATCGACGCACCTGACACATAACCGTTGCTCCGTTGGTTAGAACACGAAAAGTACGGGGATGAATGGTGAAATCCGCTACGCGTTGGCCTAAAACATGAAATCATGGCCTTTGGATATATTTTTGGAGCCCACCTTACGTCACTTATCCATTTCAAGGTGGGCCACATCAAAAACATCGAGGGCTGTGATTCACGACTTTAGCCCAAGGCTACGCAAACGGTCGTAGCAGATATCTATTTCTCCGGTTTCATCCCAGATTCCCGACATACGAAAGAAAAAGGAGCCAAAGCCTAAAATCAAGGAAATTGTTTGAAAAAAAGAAGCCATATTTGAATCTTCTTTATCGGTTTCCAGTTTCCACCGTTGCCGGTGCCACCATGACCGGATCTTCAGGTTCCTAATTTCCTCACTCTTCCTTCTCCTTTTATTTCTTCATTCCCTCGCATTCCCCTTCTCGTACTCATCCCTTCTCCGCCTCTTATCTAACAAATTTAAAGAAAAATTCAAGTATAAGAACAATTCTCTGAAATCTGAATATCTGAAGAAAGCTAAAAAGTAAGAGATAGAGAGAGAGAGAGCGAGCGAGAGAACCAGAGTGCAATTACTCGTTTTTTGTTAAGCTTTTGCCAGCTCTGCATCCCTTCTCACCACATTCCGGCCATCTTCGGCTCTGCAAGGAGAGATAAGAAATCGCCGGTATGTTCGGTTTGCATTCTTATCAATGAGATTCTTTCTGATTGCTTATAAGTTTGCTGTTTTCGATAACTGCAGTAGTTGTATGAAGATCTGGTTTACCTTAGATTCTTGTTACGTCAATTTAATTTGTTGTCCAAAAATATTTAATGTTAACTGTTTTAGTCATTTTTACTTGATAATTCATAATGTCTTTTTTTTTTATTGTGGAAAAAATTGGAGGCTTTTTCCTTTGGTGTTTCTATCGTGCACTGTACTGATTGATACATTGTTGAAGTGGATTTTTCTGATGGTTTTGTGTTTGTTGGATTTACTTGATGTTTTGCAGGACATTGTATTCCTGAATCCATCTGAACTAATACTGAATTGTAATTGAGCATATTAGACGCGCTTATATGTTTTTCATGCACTAATGGATATCCTAATTGTGCATTGCCTTTAAACGGAGTTATTGATTTTTGAGTAATCTTTTTAGATTTTTCAGAGGATTAGGAATATCATGGATGCATTCTTTCATTTTATAACTGATTATTGCATAACTTGTAGATCTATGGTCGTTGGTTTCTCCCTAGTATTGCTTCCACAAAAAAAGTTTCTCCACTATTGCTTATGATCTGTCATACCACTTCTAAATATGTTTGAGGCTTATTCTTTTTTAAGAAATTCATAGTCATGTCAATGTTTTCTTTTTCTCTTCTCTTTCATTTTCTGGTTCTTCAGTATCTCATATATGTTTGTGTTGTGTTTGTTATTTTTTGAAAATTTTAGACACCAGAAATTTGGGAATTGGAAGGCATCCTCTGAAGCCTGTATAAGAGAGATTGATAAAGAAACTGCTGCACAATGGCAAGCTCTACAAAAAATGTGGATCCTGCATTTCATGGAGTGGGCCATAAAGTGTATCCTTTATATGAAAATTCAAATGATAAATGTTTTTTTCTGGTATTCAGCTACAGTCAGCCAAGTGCATTTTTCTGTCTCCTGCTTCCTACTAACTGGAATGCTTGGATTTTCTCAAATTCCATTATTGCTTGGTGCAGTGGTAAAATCTCAGCTTGACAAACATGAGATTGTATGTTTCAGTCTGAGAGTGACCACTTTGTGTAAGAAAGTGTCAATGGTTAGGTCTATATCCACTCCACCTCCCACCCTCAAGAAAAAATAAATACACTAGATAGCTAGGACCAACATTGGGTAATGACCCTTCTTAGTAAAGCTACAATTCATGGTTGCTGATCCTAAAAAAATGAAAAATTTTCTGGTATTCACTCAATTGCATTTGGACCTTTGTATGAGAGAACAGGAATTAGTGCAACTTTCTTAGATTTTCTACTTAACATTGTACAGTGGGACTGAAATTTGGCGAATTGAGAACTTTCAGCCAGTTCCTTTGCCAAAAACTGAATATGGTAAATTCTACATGGGGGATTCGTACATTATATTGCAGGTACTTTAAGTCATCTATTATATTTGTTTTTAAATTTGGACATGTTCCTTTACTCCTATCCTTCTGCCATTTATGTTTATATGCTTGCGGGTAATTTCAATCATATGTTTTGGTTCTCTTTTTCTTCTCCTCTTCTCCTCTTCCCCTTCCCCTCTTTCTTTCCTGTTTTCAATTTAAGTGCTGTATTTTATTCCTTTCTTCTGTCTTCAGTGTTCTTGGACAATCTAAATTCTTAGCACTGAGTCCTATGTCACTTTATACTAAATGGTATTTTCTTAATATCATCTTGTATGTGGTAGAGACTTGGGATGAAGTTAGAGCTCCCAAAGAAAAGGCATTTACAGCTCTGTTCACACAGATCTGATTTAAGAAAGCTCTTCAAATTTCATGCATCAAATAAAAGTTGAATTACATAAAATGGAAAGTACCCATCACATAATTATATAATATGGTCAATTTATAAAATAATTGATTAAAAACATATATGCACATTCCTAAAACATCTGCAACAGCTATTTGGGCATCTGATACAATAACTATGGCTAATAGATTTACACTGATGGCCAGTTAGGGAGCCTCTGGTAACTTCCCAAAGCTCCACTGATTGGTTTCTATTGGCTGTAACCATTCTACTACCTGCTGCTTCAAAATAAGTGGTCTCTACCCCCAGCTGCTGCCTCAAGCCCAAGGATTAATTTGTCACAAAGTGTGTTTACATTTACAGAGTTTGTTTCGTGAGGCAGCCTCGGTCTGTTTCCTGTAATGATACTCTTATCTATTCTTGGAAACAAGATTTCTTTCTCTTTTTCATTAATTCAATCCAATTTCCGTTATTGATAAAAAAGAAACTGTGCTACTGGTTTATAGAGTGACTTAAGGAGTGAAGAAAAGGCCTTGCACTTTTTATATGTCTTATTTTCAGATAATGGAATTCTCAGTTACCGGAAAAATAGGTGCTGTTAATTTTCTTAAATATTTTTTAAGTACTCTTGCATATAAAATAAGTGCTTCCTGCTTAAAAAGTCAACTGCACAATGGTTCAGGAATTGACCTGAACCTTTTTTTAATCAATACCAAGAAAATTTCATTAATTAGAAACAATGTACATTAGGGAGTGGTAAGCTCTCTTCGCTCATCCAAAAAACATACTAAAAATCCAGAAAATTACAACTGAGCCCAGAATAAAGCCGCCCTTTTCACCCCTTGTTTGGCTAACCCATCAGCAAAGGAATTGACACTTCTTTTAATCCAGAACACTCTAACTTCAATGCCCTGAGCCAGCCATTTGAAATTTTTCTTTTCATTACTATAAGCCCACAGTCCATGTTCATTCTGTTTTGCCTTCAACCAATCCACCACCAGTTTGGAATCCCCTTATATTATCAGTTTGTTAATTTTCATCTCCTTGTCTCTTTGTACACCTTCCAAGGCTGCTAGGATCTCAGCCCTAAGGGAGTCACCAACTCCAATTGAACCTGAGAAAAGAGAAACTAGATTCCCTTCCTCATTCCTTATCACTCCCCCAATGACTGAAGGCCCTGGATTCCCAACATTACTTCCATCAAAGTTTAGCTTAAAAGTTCCATTGGGAGGAGGGGCCCAGGAATTGACCTAAACCTTTTTTTGCAACTTATTGACTGTCAGTACTGTAAACTGTATGGTCTGGTCATTCCTTATATATGTATCCGATTTTGACACATTTCTTTAAGTTGGTGTTGCTTCTTACTTTTGGAATAATACTGCTCTTTTCTGTGTTTGATGAACTGTTTTTTCTATAGATGCATTTGCAATTATGCACCCAATTTCTGTAAGTCTAATGTTATGGTGCGAAGTGTACTCTCTTTTAGGCTTTTTATGAACTCATCTAGCAAATATGCTGCAGACAACCGCTGGAAAGGGAGGCTCTCATCTATATGACATTCATTTTTGGATTGGGAAAGACACGAGTCAGGTGGTCTTCTAGAATTGCTATTATTCTGCTTTTATTAGTTTTTTTCCTACAATGTCCCTGATAAGGGCTATTACCTACCTAATACATTGTCACTTGTAATTATCTATATATTATTTTTATTCTCATCAATAACATTTAACAGTTACTGAAAACAATCTGTTCTAACTCGAAGCTGTAATTTCCGCAATTGTGATAGGATGAAGCTGGAACTGCAGCAATCAAGACAGTTGAACTTGATACAGCCCTTGGAGGGCGTGCAATTCAGCATAGAGAACTCCAAGGGTATGAGTCAGACAAGTTCTTGTCATACTTTAAACCATGCATTATTCCTTTGGAGGGTGGTGTTGCTTCTGGATTTAAGAAACCTGAAGAAGAAACGTTTGAAACTAGACTCTATGTTTGCCGAGGAAAACGAGTTGTCAAATTGAAGCAGGTTTCAGATATTCTCAACTTGAACCTGAGGCACTTATTTTTTTTAATCTGGGATGAAGGGAAAACGTGATATTATTTCATGTCACGCAGGTTCCCTTTGCTCGCTCGTCACTGAATCATGATGATGTGTTTATCCTTGATACGGAGAACAAGATTTATCAGTTTAATGGTGCAAACTCCAATATTCAAGAAAGAGCAAAGGCTTTAGAAGTAATTCAGTATTTCAAGGACACGTATCATGAAGGAAAGTGTGACGTTGCAATTATTGGTAAGGCCACCTATAATTTTGATGTTTTGTTTTCTCACATAATTTATTTTCTGAATATTTTAATATTTTATGTTTAAATTTTGTACCTATATCTGCATGCATACGTAGTTCTCTTTAAATATCTAAATGGTGTTCTTTATGCTAGATGATGGAAAACTTGTAGCTGAGTCAGCTTCAGGTGAATTCTGGGTCATTTTTGGTGGTTTTGCACCAATTGGGAGAAAGGCTGCAACAGAAGATGATGCTATTCTGGAGACTACTCCTGGAAAACTTTACAGGTATTTCCAAAAAAGAACCTTGCTGGTAGTTTATCTTCTATAGTTCTAATATTTGTACAAACCAAAGGGGAATCCTAATAATGATAGTATCCTGAATTTATGTGCCCCATGAAGTGTGTAACTAGTCAACATATGATACTAACATGAAATTTCTGGTTACTGTAGCATTACTAATGGTCAGGTGACGCCAGTGGATGGTGCACTTTCAAAATCAATGTTGGAGAACAACCAATGCTATTTACTGGATTGTGGTGCTGAGGTTTTTGTCTGGGTTGGCCGTGCCACACAAATGGAGGAGAGAAAAGCTGCCAACCAAGCTGCTGAGGTAGAGCACTTATTTCCATTCCTTCATGATAATCATAGCATCAGACATTCTTATATATACTCTCTGCTGTCAGGAATTTATTAGCAGCCAAAACAGACCAAAATCAACGCACATAACCAGGGTTGTTCAAGGGTATGAGACACATTTTTTCAAGTCAAATTTCGAGTCATGGCCAAGTGGATCAGGTACTTCTGGTGCTGAGGATGGAAGATCAAGAGTAGCAGGTACTATCACTTCTACATTTTGCAAGTACATTTTTTCCTGAGATGATAATTTAATTGTTAAATTGTTTTCATCTGTTAGCAATGCTGAAGCAACAAGGTGTTAATGTCAAGGGAATAACAAAAAATGCCCCTGTTCATGAAGAAGTGCCACCTTTACTTGAAAGTGGTGGAAAAATTGAGGTCTGACTATTCCCATTGTTTTGTTACTGTATTTCTGAAAATGACATGATCTTTACAGGATTATGAATGATAATATATTATTGAAAGAGATGAAGTGTGAAGTCCACTAGTTTTTTCAGGTATGGTGCATTGATGGCAGTGCCAAGACACCTGTTCCTCAAGAGGAGATTGGTAAATTTTACTGTGGAGATTGCTATATTATTCTCTATACATATCATTCAGGTGATAAGAAGGAAGAGTACTACTTGTCCTGTTGGGTGGGGAAGGACAGTATCCAGGTAATTTAAGTTATTCTGGACATGCTACATGACAATTTATTTTTGTGCCCTCCTCATGGGGCATGTCAAGTGTCAAGGCCTATATCTTTCTTATGAAAAAGTTACTTTTATATTCCTTGGGAGGCAATCCTATGTACTGCATTTTGATTCTAATTACCCCATTGACCCCCTTTTTTGTCTTCTTATCTAATGAATGATGCATCAATTTGGATGGAGTTAAATGTAGAATAAGAAACCTTGCTTTTCTCAATTCATAAGCTGCAAGAATTATTCTCTTTTATATGCATGTATCTTCCAAAAGTTATGGCCCTGGATAGAGTGGAATGCCAGAACAAGGTCTCTCTAACCCACCTATCTAGTTGGGACAAGGCTTTGTTGAGTTGAGCATCTAAATTTTTGTCTCCAAAGGTTTTTCTTTAGATGGTTGCACTGGTTTTGTTCAGGTACATTGATGTATAACACTAAATTTGGTATATATTTTTCATTTCAAGGACCACAAAAGTTTCTACATGATTGGTCCCCCTACACCCACCCCACCCGAAAAAAAAAAAAATCCACCCATCCCTTCATTCTGGTAGAGGCTAAAATCCCATTATGTTGTGCCATTCTGTTCATACTTCACTGCTCAAGTGGTTCTTACACAATCCTTTTGGTACTTAAAACTCTCTGTTGACTAGTTATCCAATCTATCTACAATCTAGTCCTTCCTCCTAATTGTAAGACTAGTTTTCCCTGCAAGTATATATTTTGCTTGCTATGTATCCAATGTGTAACTGTTTTTGCTGCTGCTAGAATAATATTTCCACCATATCTCTGGACTGTCCGGTAGCCAAAAACTATACTTGTGATTGAGTTCTACTTGTCTTTCACACAATCCTAATTGCTAACTGTAAGTTGATCTCATATTTTAGACTTTAACGTTACTTTTATGTCATCCTATTACTCAATCTCAGGAGGATCAGATGATGGCCATGCAGTTGGCTAATACAATGTTTAACTCATTAAAAGGAAGGCCTGTTCAGGTAGCATGTTTTACCCTATTTGAATAAAGGTAGGGTAGGTGACTTAAATTTGGTATTTACCATTAAACTTCCTGCAGGGCCGCATTTTTCAAGGAAAAGAGCCTCCACAGTTCATTGCAATCTTTCAGCCTATGGTTGTCCTTAAGGTATGAGATATTGAGCTTGAAGGACCGACTCTGTACAAGTAATATGTTTACTCAGAAATTGGACTGTTATAAGTTAGATGCTTATTTAATGGGAATTGCTATGTTTTAATCCAGGGTGGACTAAGTTCTGGTTACAAGCAGTTTATAGAAGACAAAGGTCTAAATGATGAGACTTACACTGTTGATAGTGTTGCACTTATTCGTATTTCTGCAACATCTGTGCATAATAATAAAGCAGTGCAAGTTGATGCGGTATGTTCTCATTATTTTACTACTTCCATTATGATATTTTAAATTGGAGTTTGCTCATATGATCGTATCTTGTAAGACTACCATTAATTAGGGTTATAATCGGATCAGATCCAGCCACATATGAATCCAATCCGACTACCGGAAGAATCCAAATACAATCAGATCTAGGGGCATAGGATTGTATTTGGATCCTGATGGATTTTGGGTCATATTTAGGTTTAATCCGACTCTGTTTTATTGTCTTTACAATAAACAAAAACTATAAAATTTAAAAAAAAAAGCTATCAACTTAACAAGGGATTTTGTTGGGGTAAGGCTTGGGTGATGATGATGGTTCCAAGCCTTACCCCAATTACATGGGGTTGGCTACATGAATCCTGCTTTGCCATTTGGTTCTGCTTATGCCATATCCATTGTTAAATTATAGGTTCTTAAATCATTTCTTACTACTTTGACCGATTCTCTTTTTGGTCCACCCCGAGCCCTTCTACCCCCTTTAGCCTCTTCTACACACACACACACACACACACACACACACACACACACACACACACTTGCATGCATAGCATGCTCAGACATCCTTTTACCATTTAGAAGTAGGCTGTTAAAATCACTACCCATGTTCACTTTACTCATTCTATATGCATCTGCATGAGCCCCAAAACAATTGTTCCATATTCACTCCTTGGCAAGTGCATCAGACATGGAATTCATGCTGAAATGAGAAGACAGGGGGATTTCTTTTTATAATTTATTCACTAGTATCATATTTTTGTGCATTTCTGGTCTATTTTTGACTTTTTGTTTCTGTTGCATCTCCTGCATCAGTACTAAACAAATCAGATTTATTTTGTCATTTGTTAATGTATTTTCTTTTCTCATTCAGGTGGCAACATCTTTGAACTCTAATGACTGTTTCTTTTTGCAATCTGGGTCTTCAAATTTTATCTGGCAAGGACATCAAAGTACTTTAGAGCAACAACAATTAACTGCAAAAATTGCGGACTTTTTAAAGGTATGTAGTTCAGTTTGTCCTTTATTTTTATTTTTTCTATTCAAAATCTGGGTTGGGGGGGAGGTGCAAAACAGATTGCACGTTCATCATCTTTTTTCTTCTTAGTAGATACATAAAGATAAAGAACAGTATAGAAGGAGAAGAAAAACCAACATATGCCAATAAAATCTGAAAGCTTTGGAATATTTGGGGTTTCTCTCACTAGTAAGTTATAACAATAAATTTCTGATTCGCTTTCTCTGATAAAAAACCACAGATGCCAAAACCCTGAATACCACAAACCACCACTCTCCAGATACTACAAGTTCACACCAAACGGCTCTTAACCTTGATGGGCATTCCATTGCTTCCCCTGTGACCCACAAATCTCTCAGTTTTTACTAATTTCAACCATCATCCCAGTGGATTCTAGCTACTCCTTTACATCTACCTTTTGTTATTTTATATCTTATGTTTTAACTGGAGCATTGTCATAATTCTTTCTCTTCAAAAATCTTAGATTTCATTTTTTTTTCAAATTCTTCTTTATTTTTCTCTTACTTATGTTTATCTTAGGAAAGTGGTGGAAAGGAAAGAACATATTGAAGAACCACTACAGTTAAAACCTCAAAAATTATTTCACCTGCTTATGTCATGGTAATGGCATTCATATAGAAACTAAAAGGCCACTACCCAATATTGGTCCCAGCTATCTGGGGTCTTGGGAGGGGTAGACAGGGTGCGGTCCTAACATTTGGCATTCTTTGCACAAAGTGGCCTCCCTCAGACTCAAAACCGTGTTTTCACCTTTGCCAAATAATTTGAAGTACCGGATAATGTAAGGTGGTAAGGAAAAATAAGTTCAATCATTTCTAAGAGAGGTCTAGCTAAGGAAAGATGTCCTTGTAAACTGACTTTTGGTTGATGTGGTAGATTTTTTTCTTTCTTTTCTTAGTTTTTTTGTGTGTTTATGGAGGTAAGGAGGGAGGTATTCTTTTTGACTTTTACTTGTATTAATTTGTAAATCTTATCATTCTAAAAGCCAATAAGATAAATTGGAAAGACTACTTTTATTTTATAATTTATAGTTTTTTCCTTTTAATTTATTTCAATTGATAATTTAAACTGGATGACATAGAATATTGTTTTAACTATATTATATTGTTCTATTAGTGATCTTTACAAAGGTGAGGAGTTAGGGTGGAACCCATCAAACATGATACTAGAGTGGATTTGGAATCTGGAAACTCTGAAGAAAATGGTGGTAATTAGCAGGAAAACTAGCTTGTCTTTATGAATGACAATGGGGAGGTAAAGATTTCTTTCTCAGTGGTTAAGGAATCCTGTTGAAGAGAGTGATAGCTCAAAAAAGGTCGCAGGGGCTGAGATAAGCGAGTGGAAATAATGAGTGAGAGGTGGAATCTTTGTACCATTGATCCACATTTTAAAAGGCAGTAAGGCCTAAGGGAGAGTTAAATCCCCTTGCCTCACCCACCTTGTATCTTTAGCAGCATACACCTCATCTATAAAACCTCAAAATTTAAAAAAGAAACTAAAACATTAAAATATTAATCTATCATATTCTCCAAAGTTCAAGAATACTTGAGTATTTGTTTGCGCACACTCAAAAATCCCTCATAATACCTCTCTTAGTCCCAAAAAAATCTCTTTGATTTTCTCTAACTTAATAAATATGGTAATACCAGTATGCTACTCTATGTCTCAATGTACCACATGTAAAAATAACTTCTCCATTCAGATGTTCACCCATGACATGTGACAATGGGACCCATAAATCTACAAACTAAAAATCACAGTTAGTTCTTTCTTTAACTCAAGAAAATAAAATATAAATTATTAATAATAAAAATAAAACAAAATTTTCAAACTATTTTTTTATCACAATCTCACTTCAAGTCATTAGTTCCAATAAAGAAGTTGAATATGATGCAAACTATTTATTTAAAAATTTTATAAATGAATTTATATTGAAAAAAAAGACAGGAAAGAAGCATAAAAATCAATATTTAGGTAGGAAAGGTTGTAATGTAAAATAAAATACAACATAAAATTAAAAAATGTAATATTAAAAAGAATACACATGTAAAGAGGGGACTTGATCAAGATGAATCAATTGTACTCCCAAAGGCAATATAAAGATATTGATAAAATTATCATGGATCAGTGAATGATAAAAAAAGATTTATTGGAAACCCAAAAGATGTGTTTAATTTTTCATTTGTCAAAGAATGCCAATTGATTTGTTTATTTAGTCTTAGTAATATTGCAATGAATTTTGTAATATTAAAAACATTCTCTCTTATCATATTATGATTTGGATAATCAATTCTGACGTAATTTCTTAATGATTCAGCCAGGAGTTACTTTGAAACATGCCAAGGAAGGAACTGAGAGTTCGACATTCTGGTCTCCATTAGGTGGGAAGCAAAGTTACACAAGCAATAAAGAAACACAAGAAACTTTTAGGGATCCTCACTTGTATACTTTCTCATTCCTTAATGGTTGGTGCTTAATCTTCATCTTGTTAGTCCAAAATATTTTGTTGTCTGTAAACATTATTCTTTTAATACCCTTAGTTAACTTTCGGTATAACTGCTGGATAAAGCTGATCATTCTTTTGTACTTGTTTTTCCTCTTTCAATACTCGTACCACCATGCTGCTTTGCCAGAAAAGTTTGAGGTGTGCCCACGGCTTCAAATTTCAGTGAAACTTTCTTGTATTTTTATTAGGTATCTTAGGTTTTCTATCTTTAACTGTAACTGTTTCTACTTTGTAGGTATCAGAAGTTTACAATTTCTCTCAAGATGATCTACTGCCCGAGGACATTATGATACTTGACACACATGCTGAAGTATTTATTTGGGTCGGCCAGTGTGTGGACAGCAAAGAAAAACAAAAGGCTTTTGAAATTGGCGAGGTATTAATGCTTTCAGGACTATTTTCCGGGATTATCTAGTTTCTCTTCTTTTACCTCATGCAGTGCAGTATTTTTCAGAAATATGTAGAACTGGCAGCAAAATTGGAAGGTTTGTCTCTAGAGGTACCGCTTTACAAGGTCCTGGAAGGAAATGAACCATGCTTCTTCACAACATATTTTTCATGGGATTCCTCAAAAGCTATTGTATGTGCTGCAACTATGGAACTTTAATTTGGTTTAGCCTGTAATTTTTTTTTATTTTATTTTAACATCTTATAACTTTTTCGCTTGAAATAATATAGAAATTTGTGCTGTTGTAGCAATAGTTAAAGAAAACGCTAAAGTAGGAATCATATTAATCATTGCATGGGGTTTACCTTGATGGAAATTTAAATAATGCTACAGGAACAAAATATTAAATTCAGTGGGTTAATATTAACCTTTTATAGTTATGAATCTTCCCCATCAAAGTTGCCAGCGCTGCATTATTTCTTTGAACAACCTCTATTTATTATGTTTTTATTTAATTTTTATTTTTTTTGTGCTTCATGCATCTTACTTAAAATCCACTAGAATCTTCACCATATTGTGAGCGATTCCTCTCAAAATCTCCAAACCCTTCAGTGGCATAACCATAAAACCAATTAGGACTGTATAATGTTTAATGAATATGGAAAAAAACAATTTTCACAACTTGCATATTTGTATTGTAATTACTTAATAGGTTCAAAATGTATAAAAATGGTCCAGTCCCCTTCATTTCACTGAGATTATGTCAATCAGAAACAATGCCATGAGAAGTGATTTATTTATATTAATCTCTATAATCCAGTGTTAGGTTCTGATACAAATTATCTATTGCTTCTTTTAAGCATATGTTCCACATCAAAGATGTTTTCCTCTATGAAATTGCAGGTTCATGGAAATTCGTTTGAAAAGAAGGTCTTGTTCCTGTTTGGTGCAGCACATGTTTCAGAGGTGAATGCTTGATCTGGTTATTTAATTCCATTACACGGATGAAATTACACAAATTGTCTTAGTTTTATAGTAGGAAATTCAAACCATCCAGTTTAAGTGAAATATGCTTGAGGATCGGTGGACTACAAACATTGGGATTATATGATGCCCTTAGGTGTTTCACTTTCTTATGTTTAACAGATGCCCTCGCTTTATATTATTTTACTGTTCATATACAATAAAATGATTGCTTTGCTTTCGAGTTGCATTTGGAATTTAGTCAGCCAACAGTGATAGCTTTACTCAAGTTTCATCATATCACTATGCCATTGAAGGGCTCAGTTTTTTCCCCGGTGGATAAGAGGCTTTCTGAAGGTTTCTGTTTTGAAACAGTAGATTTCTTTCATGCCTCATTGATTATACTGTTCTTCACGGTAAAGTATGAGATATGTGTTGCAACAAAAGATATTACAACTGAAAGAGTTGAAAAGAAGTTCTAGAGTAATGAGTTTGAGGGAATTTTAGCTCATATCAAGGATATAAAAATGTCTTGGGGATTTGAGATTCAAGGGTTGAATACCCTTATCATAATAATCAAATTGGGAGTACAAAATTCAGTTCAGGTTATAGTCATATATACATCGGGAACTCAGGTTTAAAGATTACCCAGCCAAAAATAACTGAATGAAAAGGGGGTTGGCACTTTTTTTTTTTTACTCAATTGGAACTGTCTACATTCCAATAGTTATTGCATTATTGCTTTGTGAGTTACTTCTTCGAGTTCATTGATAACTCTTGGGGATGCAACGTGGGCGGGCTGGGATGGTTTTAAGGTCAAAATAGGCCCAACCCTAACAGTTGGGCTAAGACCAGATCCTGAGGTCAAATGCCATCTATCCAACCCAGGCTCAGCCCGAACTAAAATTTGACATACTTGGGTTGGGCTCAGGCCTGGACCAACTTGAGGTTTGACACTCAAGCTTGATCAGGACTATTGGGTCCAATGTGTTTAAAATGGTCCTAAGTACCTTAACCATTAGATAGGAATAATTTATGTATCTATGCTTGTGTGTGTATATATGTACATTATGTATGTATGCATGCATTTTTTCATGTATATTAGTATGTATGTATCTGGTATGTGTATGCATTATGTAGCTGAGCTAGGGTCAGGTTAGGCTCGGTCCAGGCTTGGGTTACTTAGGTGCTAGGCCAAGGCCCAGCCCAAGGACCCAAAATCCAAGATTAGGCCATTTAAAATTTCAGGTTGGGTCCGTCCAGGCTTAGGGCCCTCTCAAGTTGCACCCTTAATCACTGTTACATCATGGATTTTGTAAGTTGTCTGTTTATTACTCTTCTAGGGTACTGAACTCAACATAACTGGATGTTTAAAAGAAGTGTTATTTAACAAGTTACTGTGGAGTTTATATTGTACGAAGGAATACAGATTGATTGGTTCTGTTTTAATAAGAAACCCTACTGAACATTTCATTTCAAGATTAGGATGAATTTTGCCTTGTTACCAGATAAGGTTCCTTTTAATGAATGACAAGTTTTGGTTGTGATCTCTCTCTCTCTCTCTCTATTGTGGAGCCAGGATAAGTCTGGATCATCAAATCAAGGGCCAACTCAACGGGCTTCAGCTTTAGCTGCCTTAAATTCTGCATTTAATCCATCCAGTGGAACAAAATCAGTTGCCAGGGTATCTACCAAGGGTGAAGGATCACAGAGAGCTGCTGCTGTAGCAGCTCTTTCAAATCAACTTACTTTTGAACAGAAGCAGCGGCCATCCGATGCCACTTCTGCAAATACACCCACCAGGAGTCCTACTGGTACGGGAAACAGCTTCTTTTTTTTTATGCTTGATTACATATTATCTATTAAAGACTTCTGCATGCAGTAACCAGGAATCTGATTCAGTGAACCCAAAAAAGTAGGATTAGTGGACATGTGTTGTATAAATAATGCTTTATCATTCATTCATTCATACATACTTACATACATATCCATCATCTAAGCCTTCCAACTATATGGGATTGGCTACCTGAATCTTGTTTTGCCACTTGGCTGTTCAGTGCCATATCTATGGTTAAATTATCATCACTCAAATCATTTCCTATTACTTGTACCCAAGTCCTTTTCGGTATGCCCCTAGCTCTTAGCCCCCTTGTTCAAAAAAAAAAACCTCTTATAGCCCTTTTTTCAACTTGTAACAGATCACTTTTTCTAACACACATGCACACATAATTACATATTATGATTTTTAATATTATTCTTAAAATTATACTTTCATAGAAATATATAAGCATACTTAAGATTTTAAATTACAATTTACAATTGACAACTAAATTAGCAGTTTCCTATTTTCCACCTGGTCGCATTAGTTTCTTTTTCGTTATTTTCCTCATTCAATGTTAATTGGAAAGGTTTAATGAAAAATGGTCATAAATTATGTTTAATTTGGGAAAAAACACAAATATTAAAGTTCCCTATTGGACCGTTAAATTGTTAGACCAGTGTTACGTAGAGGCATTTGTTAAATTGTTGGACCAGTGTTACGTAGAGGCATTTGGAGTGAGAATTCGTAATTTTGGAGAGTTCAGCTTCAGTCAGGGCAAAGCCCATTCAAGCAGCCTTTACAGTTTTGCATTGAGAATATCTCCCTGCTTATGCTTATGTGCTTTATTTCATGGGGAGATATTTCCAATGTGCAAAAGGCGGTTGGAAGGGTGTGGGCACGGGCTTGCCCTGATGGAAGCCAATCTCAATTTTGGAGAGTCAACACAGAGGGCATTTTGGCAAGTCCCCTTGAATCGTACTGTAGCTGAGTCCAGCATCTATTTTGGAGAGTCAGACATGAGCCAGACTTGAAAACAGATGCCAACTTGTGAGTTTCCTCCCTGTAAAGGTTGGGTGTCCATGCAATAGTGCCCTTTATACAAGTGTGCCACTTAGGTTGGGGTCAACTAGATCATTTGGTTTGGCTCAGCATGTCCAATACAAACTTTTATTTATTTTTTTATTTTTGGTTTGGTTGAATTGATGAACTTGTAGTCTTAAGGTTGCCAAGAAAAAATCCATGGAACAAGCAGAAAGAAAACTAGGAAAGTAACAATCCCCATCCCCCGGGATTTTTATTACCCAAAAAAACAGTAGGCTACAAGGCATTTTGTAGGGGCGCCTTTATATCATGCCTGGTTTTGCATACATGTTTGTTGCCTTATTAGGCAAGGCGGTCAACTTTTGCTTTATGTTGGAGAAAACCTTGCAAGTTCAAAATTATAATCAACCATGATTTGAAGCTAATCATCGACTCTTCTTGGTATGTCAAATCGGGTCTCATTTTTGTGAATGTACTGTCTATTTCCCTAGATTAGAATGATATTAATTAACATTATTCTATATCAGTTGCGGCTGCCACGAAGAGTGAACTTGCTCCTGAGACGGAGGATACTGAAGATGTTCAAACCAATGAAGAGGACTCAGAGGTGAAAGAAGAGTCAGAACAGCAAGACAATATAGTTGAAGGTGTATACACATACGATCAATTGAACACCAAGTCAGAAAACCCAGTTAGTGGAATTGATTTCAAGAAAAGAGAGGTTTGTATGATTACCTTTTATCTTCTTGATATTCAATAGTTGAGAAGTTATCTACTTATATAGAAGAAACAGATATGTTCTTGAAATAGAAGGACTGCTTTATTTTTCTTTGCTTTAACTAATCCTATGGAATGTCAAAAGACAAAATAGCGAACCTATTTTATTTGATCAATTTAATTGCTAATATATGCTCAATTTTATCAGGCTTACCTGTCTGATGAGGAGTTCGAGACTATACTGGGGATGACCAAAGAAGCATTCTACCAGCAACCAAAGTGGAAGCAGGACATGCAGAAGAAGAAGGTTGATTTGTTCTAAATCAAACCAAGTAGTGACTGCTTACATTTCTGCTGGATTTTATCCATCATGCCTTTGCTATCCTGCTGTCTGTTGAGAAATTTGGTAACACTGAAGTCTTGAGGGGCTCCATCTAGCATTTGATTTTTGCTGGTAATGAAGTTAGTAGCTGTCATTTTCCTATTTATCATGACTTGGTAATACCAAGTCTGGGAAGTTTTCTTAATTTTCTTCGCTTTTTTGTCTTTTCTGTTCAGTTTTTATAATTTTTTGGGGTGGAGTGGGGGTTTAATTAAGCTGCTGCCGCTATCCCTGTGATAAGCAAGATTTGTAGCTTTAAGAGAGCAGCATGCAGGCCATATTCTTTTATTTGTACATGAGGGTATTACCATTTGATGCCCTCAGATTGATGTTTATCAAGAAGGGGGTATATATGTTCGTTGTACTCCTTATCGAATTTAATTAAAGAAACCCATTTGTTTCGTTGAGGTTATCTATATATTAAATCTTATTCTTTGTTTCGTAAGCCCCCCATTTAGTGTTGGAAAACATCTGCTCCTCACACCGGCCTCACAGCATGTCCTGGCCGTAGGGAGATAGATATTCATGGAATACGGTCAAGGTGCAGACATTGTACTTATTTCCAACATGAAGCCCATGGCTGTTTTGGGGGCCATGTTGGTAACAAGTCCATGATGCATGGAATAATGACAATTTCAAGATTTAATTAATCAATCCTAAGTAGTCTAAAAGTCTAGTCTTGGTTAACTTTTTGATATCCTGAGAAGACCCAGAGTTCACTTTAGTTGCATGTGGGTGTTTAAATCTGTATCCAAATATGTAAACCAATTATTTTTAACTTCCTAGATTTTAGAAGTTGTATATGTGAAGGCTAAATAAATATTAATGTTTAGACACTGAATTTGAATAAAAGTCCATATTAATTATAAGGAAAGTGACCAGTAATGTAATTAGTGGTCATATTAATGTATACATTAAGGCTAATTATATAGAAAGAGTAATCCATGCTTCCATATTTGCTAACTTTTGTTACTATTAATGGAAAGGAAGAAGGTATGTAAATTTGCACCAAGCAATTAAGGTGGCCACAGAGAGGGATCCTAAGGCCAATTTGATCCTTGGATCGGGTACCTTCTTGATTGGCCATGGTTTCACTCTGGTCCATACCAACTGCCATGATTGACCACTTGGACCTTTTGTGCCTATTGGACCATGCTGGAGAAGTTGTGTTGGGATCTATAGGCCTCATTACACTGGCATGTTCATTCGTAATTGATCTGATTATATAGCCTGTTATACACAATTGTATGAGCAGTAAATCCGAAATCCCAACTACATGCTGTGTTTGGAAAACCAGATTGAAGATCAAAGAGGGCTGATTTTGTATATGTTTGCCAGTTTAACCGGGCAGATTTGCCTCAAAACGCCAGGTTTTCATAGACCCAGTCCTTGTCCAACCCAGTTCAATTGGCTGTCCAAGTACTGTTTTCAGAACATTGACTACATGGGTTAAGTCAATAGCCATATGTTCATCTGACCTTAATACCAACACTATTGTTCTGGACCTCTTTTGGAAGAGGTTCAATCGGCTTCCCAACATTTGATGCTATTATTAAGCCTAGAAAGGCTCTTACTGAAAATACTCACATTGTGATAGTAAAATACTGAAAATACGGCTATTGAAATAAAAATCAAAGATATAAGAAACAAAATAAAGATATTATTTAACTTCTTTTCCTTAGTTGCATATTCTTTTCACTTTTCTTGTTTAGCTCGAACTTCATGCCATATGTTTGGTATTTTGTTTTTAGATACATAATATGAGTAGTTTCATGTTTTATTGGCTTATTTTCACCATGTTCATTAATTTTTGATGGTATGTTTTATTTCTTGTATTTGACCTCTGATGGTGATTTTTATTTATTTTTTGACCCAACGTAATAAAATTAGAAAAAATTGTTAAACATTAATATTTGCATAAACAATAATTTGAATAATTATTTGGCAAAATTGTAATTTGAATAATCAAGATTTTAATATCAGAAAAAGAGAATCAACTTGTAATTGATAAGAAGTTTTGTTACAAACCAAAATTATTGATTACTTGCTATAAAATTTGTTGAGCTGGCTGACTTTACAAATCGGAACAATTGTACATGATCATATATGGTCCAATATTGATGGACAAAGATAAAACACAGGCTAGAAACAACATGTATTATTTTACAAATAAAAAATGTTCAAAAGATATTACAAAGAATGCTAAGAGATTGATAATTTCTATTATTTTACAAATAGCCGGGAATTTTGGCAGTACGGCGTCAATGGTTGTTCGGGAATGGCGGTTAGTAGCAGCCTAGAAACGACGGTCAATAACAATCCAAGCCAAAAAGAGCAGCACATTGTTTCGTGGTAATTGTTCTAGTTTTCTGATATATATTGTCGGATGTTATCAGTGGTATTGCAATAGACCAACATCGATAATAGTCAATGGTCGGGACAGCAATGATAATGGATAATGGATTTAAGTTAGGATATTTTAATTTAAAACTTCAATCAAATACAGAAATTGATTTGGGAGGAGGATTGTGTATTTGGGTCTCCCCCAACCTTTTAAGGTCTTGTTGGATTTTGGACCTTTTTCTTTTTCGTCTATGAATAGGTCTTAATTTGGCTGATTTGACCATGATATATGTTAATATCTATGCAATATGAGGAGGGAAAAGGATGGAAGTCATTAGCAAGTGAATTTTAATTGTTTTTCATACTCAAGAGATTGAAGAATTGTATATATATATATATATATAGAGAGAGAGAGAGAGAGTGAGACTCACAAAAATTCCTATAGAGAATCCTTTAGATAAAACCCAAAAAAAAAAAAAAAAATCTTTCCAAAGAAAACAAAAACTTTGTGATCAGAATCCATAAAAATCCCATCTTTCCTATGAATTAAGGGGAAAAAGCTCACCTTTTACAAATTTTCATATCAGATCTATGAAATAAAATCATTATTCCTCTACTTTCACATTCTTAGAGCTAGAAGGATGAGGGAACAAGGGCGGAAGCCATTAACAAGTGAATTTTAATTATTTTTCTAGAGTTGTGGTCTTTTCTTCTTTAAGTGGTAGGCATGATAAGGAATCTCATTCTTCTTCAATATTCATCAAGGAGCTATCATATGTGAGCATACTTTACTTTTATGGATAAAAGTGTTTGATTTGTAATAAATATGTAAGTATATTTACACATTATTGATTATTTGCTATATATAAAATTTGTTGAAATGATTGATTTTATAAACCAAAACAATTGTACATGATTACACAGTTCGGATTTCCGGCTAACCTTTTCCTCCTCTCCTCTCTACTAACCCACTCAAATCAGGCCACCTGTCCCTATCTATCCAACCTGCTAACAAATGTCCAACAAAGTTAACCCTCCTTTAACTTTAATGTTTTATTGACATCTAAATAAATCAGTTCAGTTTAAATTCTAAACCGTTTTAATTAATTACTGCTAATTAATAACTGATAGTTAACAACGGTAATTAATTACTGATAGTTAATAAATAATATAATTAATTAAATTATAAACCATTTTCATTAATTGCTGATAATAATTTCTTATAATTAACAACAGTTTTAATAATGACAATTATTAATTCCGATATAATCATTTAATATTTATATTAATTCATAATAATTATTACATAAATATATAATTAATGTTATTTACTAATATTATTATTATTATCAGTAATTATGATTAATAATATTATTATTATCCATTAATTATTTGATTTACTGAATGTTAAATTATAAAACTTTCAATTATTCAATATTCTTAACTAAGTTAATTATAAAAGCAATTACTATTTCATTAATTAATTAAAAAATAATTATAACAAATTTATCACTTAATATACACAAAATAAGTACATACATAATTATAACAAATTTGTTAATTACTTAACAAATTATAAAAGCAATCATATGATCCAAACATTCACCAAGGAGGAAGGAGACAATTTCCGTAAGACCTTTCCATTCTTACTTAGCTTTGGCATGCACCCACCTTCTATAGCTTCATAGAGTGTTTGCGAGAAGATCCAATTGACCCCAAAATCTTCTAACAAAAGATCAAACCTGTTTTCTAAAATTATAACGCAGGAACGGGTGACTATTAGTTTCATTTACCCTTTTGCATGGCATACAATAAAGGGTCCTGAACTATCATTCCTCTGTGTTTGAGTTTGTCTTTTAGAGGGGGCTTGCTGAATTCATAACTGCTTTCTTGGGAAGCTAGGGCTTTCTACTCTTAGAATATGATGATCTTTTAGGAAAAGATTTAGGGGTCATTTAGTGACAGCTAAGTGGCTGAAATGAATGACTTAATGTTTTGTCTTTTACTTGACAAAATAATTAATAATAAAATAATTGAAGGCATAATAATCAACCTAAGTTCAACATCAGCTATTAAGAAGCTAACAAGAATCCCTTCAATTAAATTTCACTAAAAGACAAAACAATAATCCATTCAATTTAGCTACTTCAGCTGTTACCAAACATCCCCTTAGTTTTGCATGCTATTGATGAATCTCATATCCATGGTCCAGTATCTTGATAGTTGATCCTTACTTGATTTTGCTCCAATTTCAGCATAAGAGTTGCTGATGCATCCACTTCCCAGTTTCCAATCGTTCAGGTCTCTATGAAGGTTTAGGCACCAATTTGTACCTTATGCTGAAACATGTAGCAGTTTTTTTACAAAAGCTTCTTTGAACCGTGTACAAGTGCAACAGGTGAAAACCTAAAACTAAGGCACAGTTTGGGAAGAGTAAAAATACAAATATGTACAAAGCCGTGTATATGTTATTTCTAAACCTTGTATTTGCACTGTACGCATTTATATTTGCAGTCGTCCCAGACTCAGTGATTATGTTATTTTAACTTAGTAGCTTCTTTTGTAATTTGGACCTTTATATTCTTAAATAATGAATTGACATTTATTTTATTTTGTTTCAGTAGGAGATATTGAAGCGTCTTCTCCCTGCACTACTCCTGCTTGCAAATTTAAAACATGAGCATAGGCAAGATGTTCACGAAGCATTGGATGTTGTTACTTCATTGGCAGGTGTATCCATAACTAACAACGACACATGTAATGAAGTTGAGCTTCCATGGAATAAATTGGTACGTGCAAGACAGAAGAAAAAAAAGTTTGTAATCATGTTGTTGATCTTACTACTTTACATTCAGTTGATAAAGTGACACCAGTGGAAGATTCTCAAATGAAGACATACAAAAGAGGATATGGGCTAAGAAGTAGATCCAAGATGAAAACACAATGGACTCCTAAATGATGTTTTTCATCAATTAACTCTACTTTGGTTCTAAGTATATATAAATGTAACTGTTTTTACAAATGCTTGGCATTCTAAGTAACATTTTGTTTTTCCTATTTAATATGGATTAATTT